ATTCCAGGTTAGGACTCCCATGACGGCCCCTCTCTGAGTGACCTTGGGTGGGCCCCTTCCCCTCTCCTTGTAAACTGTAAACTTGTAAAAGGCGGGGCCGTCTTGAAAGACTGAAAGAAGCTCCGATTCTGGTTTCTGTAGCCTCAGACAGGAGACCGTTCCCTCCTCCTCCTCTCCTCCCCCCCCCCCCCCCCCCCCCCCCCCCCCCCGTCTGGAGCCTGGCTCAGAGGTCCTGGAAGGTCATGGAGCTGGCGCCCCCGCAGTCCTGCAAAGGCCAGCAGGGTCCAGTTACTTGGGGGTGGGGAGGGATAATGTCCGGGGGTCCTAATAGATAGACTGTCTGCCCCTGCCAACAGGCAAAGGAACACGCAGAGAATTCTGTTCCCCGGGTCTCATTAAGCCCCAGACTTAAATAACTGCTGACTGGGAAACGGGGAGGGCCAGAGGGGGCCCTGCCTGCCTGCCCCTTGCCCTCCTGGGCATTCAGGGGCTCAGAGGACGGCACGCCAACCTGGAGGCAAAGGGTCTACTTTCCCATTTGCAGTTGGGAGCAGGTGCACCCCAACTCTGGGTCCCCTCAGAAGGCCCCACTGGGAGTTTAGGCTCCAGGCCCCCATCTGTGAGCTGGACTTGGTGGGGGGGCTGTTGGGCACTCTGGCCCCAGGTTCCTCCACCCTCTGCTGCCTTCTGCCAGCCCCAAAGAAGCGGGTGCTTAATTATCCGGTCACTCTATCCCTGCTTGGCCAGGCAGCTAAGCCCAAACATCTGGCCCCAGGGCCCAGGGCCAGGGTGGATGGCCAGCCCCCACCTACTGCTGGCCCTGACCTGGGCACCTCCCACGGGACAGCTGAGCCCTATCCTGTGCCTGCCAGCTTGCAACAAGCCCAGAACGGTAGCTGCAGAGGCCTAGTGAGCTTGACTGATGCAGAAAAAAAAACATTTGACAAAACTCAGCACCCATTCATGGTTGACGCGCACACGCACACACACACTCCTAGCAGAGTAGGAGCAGAGGGGGCTTCCTTAATCACAGGAAGGGTGGGAAGAAAGACACAGATCTGTCCTTTCCCATGGGCGATGACTGTCCACGTAGAAAACCCCAAAGCATCCAGTGGACAAATGGTTAGAGTTAACAGGAGTTTAGCTAGGACGCAAGATCAGTACTCTACAATTGTGTCCCTTGCACCAGCAAGTGTGACCCGTGCCCCGGAAGCATGGACCTCACCAGCACCCCCTCAGACCCCTCCCCCCCCATCGGAATCTGCGTTTTAACAAGGTGGCCGGTGATTCGTGGCCGGCAGCTGTCACGACTGAGAAGAGCTGCTCAAGCCATTTGCATTATCTGTGTCCTAGACTGAACTGCAGAACTCCCACCCCGCAGCTTGTTCATAGAGGCCTTGCGGGGCTGGCCCCCTCTGGCCCCCTCTAGCCCCAGGCAGGCTCTTTCCCCCGCGGCAAGCAGGGTGCATGTCGGGTGCAGCTGAGTTGGTTTAATGCTCTGTCCATGTTCTTCTTCGTGATTTTTGGTTCTGTGTTTTCTAAGTGAAGTCGATGGGACCGGAGCCCGGGCTCATGCACAGTCACTTCCCTGCTGGGTTCTGGTGGCTGGGTGCCCCATCCCCGGTGAGGGTCGGCCAGGGAGTAGCTCCATGCCCCAGGCTGAGGCGAGGGCGTGGCATCAACAGCAAATGGCAGAGGGGGAGGGGAAGGAAAAACTTTTGTTGAAGCAAGAAACCCCACGTTTTCACTTTGCACTGGACGCCCACGTGGTCCTGCTTGCAAGCTTAGGGCTTCCCAGCTGTGGGGAGCAGATCTTCCTTGATGACCACCAGCCTGGGCACACTTTAGAGGTGCTGGACTGAGGTGAGGAGCAAAGACTCTGGAATCAGGTCAGAGCTGGGTTTGAATTCAGGCTCTAAGACCTTTAGACTTGTTGGTCTTCGGAAAGTAGGTTCCTCCCCGTTGGGGCCTCAATGGTCTTTTCTGTAAAACGGAGGGAAGGGTAGGGAGTGGGTCCTGTGTTTAAGGTCTTGGTTTGTGATTAATTCAGAGCTATTAGGAGGAGGGCAGGGTTTTCTCTTTTCTCCTTGAAGGGAATTCAGAGGCCCCGAGAAGGAAAGAAGCTGATCAAGGCATGAGAACCTTGGGCATGCTTGTTTTGTGGTTTTTTTAGCCTCATTGAGATGAAATCTACATGCCATAAAATTCACCCTTTTCCCGTGTAAAATTCAGGGGTTTTTAATATATTCAGAGTTGTGCAACACTCACCGCAATCTAATTTTAGAACGACTCCACCACCATCACCACCCCCAAGAAGAAAAACTGCCCCTCAGCGGCCATTCCCCGTCTCCCCCCGCCAGCCCCACCCCCCGGCAGCCAGCAATCTTTCCTTCTCTGTGGGTTTGCCTATTCTGGACATTTTCATAATGGGGTCCTGCAATGGCTCATCTTCCAGAGCTGGCCTCCTTCTCTTCCTGTGGTATTTGTGAGGTCCACCCACGACGTGGCATGTGTTAGGGCCTCATTCCTTTCCATGGCTGAGTAGTAGTTCGGAGTCTGGTTGGACGACCTCGTGTTTCTCTGCTCAGCTGCTGATGGACATTTGGGTTGTCTCCACGGATTGGCTATTGTGAGTAATGTCGCTGTGAATATCTGTATGGACGCATGCTTCCGTTACTCATGGGCACAGACCTAGGAGCGGAATTGCCCGGCCGCATGGTAATTCTGTGTCTAACGAGCTGATGAACTGCCGGGCAGTCTCCCACAATAGCGGCACCATTGTTTACACTCTCTCCATGCCGCATGGGGGTCCTAGCCTCTCCACGTCCTCACTAGCACGCGTCAGTGGGTCTGGAGGCTTCTGCGACCTGCCCCCACCTTCTATCCCTATGGTTTACCTGCCCCAACGCCTGTGTCCTCCCAGGGAGGGATGACCACATCACGACCCCTCCTGCACGCTCAGCCTTGCACTTTCACACGTACATGGATACCGACACACACCCCCTCACATGCACCCCAGCCCCCCGTGTGGGACACCTTAGGCCACTGATGGTAGCGGGACATCCTAAAGTTGACGACCGTGGACCCCGGGCAGGACCCAGTCTGGGTTCGACTCCTGGCTCTGCTCCTGCCCCTTGGCCCACGGTGGGAGCTCAGGTGCTGCCTTGGCCTCCCTGGCTGCCCTTGGGGCCCCCACCTGTGAATGAGGAAGATCCCACCAAGTGAACAGATGTTTCTGCCAGGGGGGCTGCTCGAGGAGCAAGCTGCTTTGTTAGTGTTAAGTATTATGATTAGTATTAAGAATTACCTAATTAAGCAACTAATACTTGATTAGCACTGCCCCTGCCCCCTTCAGGCCCTGCCTGGGAATTTTCGTCTTCCTGCCCTGCCCTGGGGCCCCCCACTGGGTCATTATCACCTCCCAGTTAATCCTCAGCTGCTGCCACCAATTAACACCCTCTGCAACCTCCCCTGCCCATGCCCATCTCCACTCCCCTCTTTCCCAGCTCCACCGTGCCCCAGCCACCTCCAGCTTTTTTGGGACACACTCTTGGCCTGATGGCTTGGGATAGTTCACATTCACGGATAAGATGGCAGAGGTCCTGATCATGCTCCCCCCCTTATGTGCCTCCTTATCTTGTTCTCTCCAATGATCCCCTACTCCAGGAAGCTCACCTGGATTGCCCAGGACAGGGGTCAGTGTCACCAGTCCTCTGGATTGAACTAGATTCAAGTGTCTTTGGGGTCACTCCACAGGTGCTGTTAACAGCCCCCCTCCCCAGTCGAGGCCATAGCACGGGCCCTGGGGGGGGGGTGGTAGGGGCCTGGGAGAGAGTGACACACGATCCAGCTCTGAGTTGTAGCCTTGCTCTGGGCGGGTGGCCAAAGAAGGCGAGGAGAGGAAGACAGAGTGTTTGCAAACAGGGCAGCTGCCAAGAAGGGGCCGGGGTGGAGGGGGGGAAGGTGTGAAGGAGAGAGGGGCCCAGCTGGTGACTGGCAGTGGCGCCTGGGTGACTTTTCTCCTCCTGCTACAGACACGTGCACTCAAGGTCTCGTGGATATGCAAACACAGGCCTGATATCCACACACACAGAGCCAGGCGCACGCAAACTTCCGTCCTGTCCCCTCACACATAGGCTCCAACGCTCGGACACGTGAAACACACAGTCACGTGACCGTGTCTCCCCCACGCACCATGACTTGTGCACACCCACGGGCCCAGACGCTCATGGACACACACATCTGCAGAAATTCCCGCCCCAGTCCAGGGGAAGCGCCTGTGCCCCGACAGACACCGAGGCCAGCCTCGGGCACGCAGCATGGCCACCCCGTGGGACCGTGTTCTGCCACTCTGTCTGTCTGTCTGCCTGTCCGTCCCTCGCTCCGTCTCTCCGCCTGACAGCATGCTGTCCAGTCTTCCCCAAGCAGACAGACCAGCAGCATCGTGGAGACCTAAGTGCTGGATGAAGCTGGGTGCGAGAAGAGAGGGCACATTATCGAGAGGGTGACAGCCTGGCGTGTGGGCAGAAGACACGGGGCCGAGGGAGTGAGACCCAGCCAGGCGGAGAGACAGGGCCGGAAGACAGGGACGCAGAGGCAGCCACAGAACCAGAGAGGGGCATTTATTGAGCAAACATCTTCGGCCAGGACGGCTCCGGTTATGCGGGGTACCTCACAGGACGGGCGCGACCCCCGCCCCCCAGCAGGACACGCAGAAGAGACACACTGACCTAAGCAGGCAGCTTGCAGGGGATGAGCGTCCCAGAGGGAAGGGAGCAGCGGAGGGGGCAGCGGTAGGAGCACGGGCCGGGGGGCCTTGCGCCGAGGGCAGGCCTCGCTGAGCAGGGCAGCGGAGCCCCCGGGGTGTGCGGGAGGCGAGGTAAGGAGCCATGAGCCCGCGGGCAAGGCGAGCGGTAGGTGCCAGAGCCCTGGGGAAGACGGAGACAGTGGGACAGACACGTGGCCGTCTCAGCCCCCCGGCCACGGGAGGGACACAGAATGCCCATGTGGGGGGTAAGGAAGGCAGAAAGGGGAAAACGGGCAAGAGAGAAGCCAAAAGCCACCACAAGAAGGCAGAGGTGACCTCAGGATGCGGGGCCCACCTGGTTCCCCTTCCGAGTCTCTGCAGGCAAGGTGGGCTCGGGCTGTTCCCCTTCCCCTCCATCCTCCTCTCCGTCCCCTTCTTCCGCCTCTTCAGCTTCCTCCTGCTGCTGCCTCCAGGGACGCCCCAGGTAGCCCCGGACGGAGTTCACCGGGCTCCTCTTCCGGGGGTGAGGGTCCAGCAGCCCCCACAGGAGACTGTCGGCCACAGGCGTCAGGCCGAACCAGGGCTGAGGACGGTCCTCGGGCTGGCCCGACGCCTGCCAGATGAGGAAGTCCTCGTAGAAGGGGTCGGCCTCGGCCAGGGGTTGGTCCCAGGGGAAGTAGCCGGTGAGAAGGCAGAACAGCAGGACCCCCAGTGCCCAAGCGTCCAGGGCAGGTTGGATGGGCAGGCCCTCAGGGAGGGGCGGGGGGCAGCAGAGCTCGGGGGCCGTGTAAGGGATGGGTGGCCCAGCCAGGCGCAGCAGCGTCCCACGGGGCCTTGTGTGGCCGAAGTCGGTCAGCTTGACCCACTGGCAGGCTGGGTCGCACACCAGCACATTCTCAGGCTTGATGTCCCGGTACACCAGGCCACGGGAGTGGATGTGCTCCAGGGCCGAGGCCAGCTGGGCTGCACAGCGCTGGACTGCCCGCTGCGGGAGGCCCACCTGCGGGGGATTGGTGTCAGGGCCTACTGCCCCTCCCTGGACAGCCGGCAGGGACCTGAGGCCATGCAGCAGCTCCTCAGTCCCAGGGGTGCCCAGGCCACTGAAGGACCTCCAACAGACTTGCCACGGGGAGGCCCAGTGTGACCCCGTGAGGCACTGTGAGGCCCAGTGTGACCCTGTGAGGCACTGTGAGGCCCAGTGTGACCCCGTGAGGCACTGTGAGCCCTGGGGAGGTCTAATGCGACCCCCTAGAGGCCTGGGGTGAGTCCATGGGGGCAGGTGAATCTCACTCGGGCACAGTGATGGTTCTGTGGTGTCCGTGAATTCCAGAGAGGCCCAGGGAGGGGCCCTCAGGGGCCTGCTCGGGGCCCATCTACCCACCTTGGGCTGGATGAAGGTGATGAGGTCCCCATACAGGATGGGCTCCGTCAGGAAGCTGTAGGAGTCAGCTGACTCGATGCCAATGCCGTAGGCCGTGACTATGGCTGAATGCGTGCCCAGTGAGAGGCCCACGCAGAACTCATACAGGAAGCCACGGAGAGAGGTGGAGGCCTTTGGGAGTTGCTTCAGCGCCAGGGTGGTGCCTGGGGGCAGTGGGGACAGGTGTGGATGGAGTGTGAGAGCCAAGGGTGGCCCTGGCCGCCCCCCCACCCCAGCCCTGACTTTCCCACACGCCATCGCCACCTCCTCCAAACCCTGCCACCCTGCCGCGCCACCCTAAACGCAGCGTGGCCACGGAAACGCTGTCAGTGGTACTTAATAATAACAACAATGCAGCATTCGGTGAGTTTCTGCTCTGCTGCGTTGGAGCAGATGGAGGGGGCCCCTTGGGAAACTGAACTCGGAACTTCAAATGCCCTGCCGGCTTCCGGCAAACCGGTGCCCAAAAGCCACAGTGAATGCAGAAAAGATGCTTTGCCCTGGAGACTCCATCCCACTGAGGAGGAGTCATTATGCATAGTGACCTGGAGTGTAAGTCCCCTGGAGGCCAGAACTCTGGCTTCTTCACTTGCATAGTCACCAGCTGCCAGGACCCCAACCTCCCCCACCAGGAGCCTGTGAGTGATGGAGAAAGGTCACCTCCTCGCCTCACACGCTGACCACTCTCCTTCCGTTCTCCAGCTGGATGCTGCAGCGCCTTTCCTAAGCATCTGGGCTGCCCTGGACTCCCGCCACGATGGCACAGGCCGCCTTCTGTTTTGATGGCTTCCGTCTGTGCTGTGAGCGCTCGGCCCCAGCACCTCCCAGCCCAGGCGCCCGGCATCCAGAAGGTGGAAAGAAGCCCGGCCCCTGTGCCCCGTTATGGCTTGCCTCCACATTTGGTGATGACCCACACCTGGACCTCTTGCTCTTTGCATCCGTCTCTGATGTGGGCTGAACTGTGCACCCTCCCTCCCCGAACCCAGAGGTGGAAGTCCCCACTCTGGTTTTGCAGAATAGAACTCTATCTGGGGACAGAGTCTTGAAACAGGTAAAGTGCGGTCACGAGGGTGGGCCCTAGCCCACTGTGACTGGTGTCCTTAGAGAAGGAGGAAATGGACACAGACACACAGGTGTGGACACACAGGGTGGAGCCCCGCCCACACTGGGGGGGGGTACTTTGGCCTCCAGAAGCGTGAGAAAATGAACTTCTGCTGTTTAAGCCCCCCCCCCCGAGTCTGTGGTGCTTTGTTGTGGCTGCCCCAGCACGCTTGTACTCCCTCTCCCTGCGCAGGCCGGAGCTCCTCCATGAAGGCCGGTCTCACGGGTTCAGCTCTGGGGTCCAAGCACCAAGCACTCAGGACAGGGCCGAGCCCCCCAGGTGGCCTTGCTAGGCGTGTCCCTGGATTGGCACTGACTCCGAGTTCCATCCACACTGTGCCGGTCTCAGGGGAGAGACAGAGGATGTGTGCACACCTGGCAGGAAAGTGCCAGACTGGGGGTGGGGGGACCCACTGTGCTCTGGTCTTGCTGAGGGTCCGGCACACGGTGTGGCTCCGAATCAACCCCGTGGTGACCGCTAAGCCAACCACAGGGGAGGACTCTGTCTGCCCCCCCTTTCTCACCAGCGAGAGCCATCGACCTATGCTCAGAGAATCACCCACATTTTCGGAGGAGGAGGCTGAGGCTCAGAGAGGGTAGGGGAGGTTCCAAGAAGACACAGCCTGGAAGAGGCAGAGGCAGCACTTGATTCCTGTTTACAGACTCCCCGGCCTTGGCTGGCACCTGTCTTGGCCCATTCCACCAGCCCCTGACCCTCCTGCATCTGTCTCCAGGCCCTGGTACCTTTCTGACGATGGGTGACCAGCAGGACCCGGCCGAAGCGGCCCTGGCCCAGGGTACGCACTTGCTGGTAAAGCTCATCCACCTCGGCTTGGACCAGGGTCTGGGCACTTAGTGCCATCATGTCCTCTAGCTCCAGGGCTGCCTCCTGGCCCTGCCGGAGCTCCTCTGCCGTGAGGCCCCCTAGGTCCTCCTCAGCTACGTTTTCGGCAGCCCCCATCTCCTCCTGTTCCGCATCTGACTGTTTGCCAGGCATCTCTGCAGGACGGAGCAGAGACAGTGACCCAGGGGCCAGGTCATGCTGGACCTGGGTCTGAGGGAGAATGGGCTGGGGGGCTGGACTCCGGGTCTGAGGGAGGAGGGGGCCGGGGGCCTGGACTCCTGGGTCTGAGGGAGGAGGGAGCTGGGGGCCTGCACTCCTGGGTCTGAGGGAGGAGGGGGCTGGGGGGGCCTGGACCCCTGGGTCTGAGGGAGGAGGGGCTGGGGGCTCATTGGCACTTTCCATTGTGACTCAGTCTCCCTCTTCGTTATGGCATCTGAGGAGTGGGGAGACCAGTTGCTGGTTGGGGTGAGGTCAAGCCTAAGGTCACAGATGTCTCTTGCCCCCACCCCCACATCCTGGCGCCACCCAATGGCCCAAGGGTGAAAGATGAACCAGATAACTCCAGACACCCCCCACCTTGTTTCCAAAGCAAACACACTTGGGCCCTGGGGTGGATGAGTAGCCTCTTTCTCCTAAGAGCAAACAGGTGCTCTCTGCCTCCAGGGGCTGGTGAGGGCGGCTGCGCACACCACGGCCTTGGGGGACGCCTGGGACCTGGGTGGGAGCAAGCACTTGGAAGGTCAAGTCCTTGAGACGCCTGGGGTCCAACTCCTACAGCCTCAGCCCCTCCTCCCTCAGACCAGGAGTCCACGCCCCCAGCCCCTCCTCCCTCAGACCCAGGGGTCGGGCCCCCCCAGCCCCTCCTCCCTCAGACCCGGGAGTCCCGCCCCCAGCCCCTCCTCCCTCAGACCCGGGAGTCCAGGCCCCCAGCCCCTCCTCCCTCAGACCCCCCAGCCCCTCCTCCCTCAGACCCAGGAGTCCAGGCCCCCGGCCCCCTCCTCCCTCAGACCCAGGAGTCCAGGCCCCCAGCCCCTCCTCCCTCAGACCCAGGAGTCCAGGCCCCCAGCCCCTCCTCCCTCAGACCCAGGAGTCCAGACCCCAGCCCCTCCTCCCTCAGACCCGGGAGTCCAGGCCCCCAGCCCCTCCTCCCTCAGACCCGGGAGTCCAGGCCCCCAAGCCCCTCCTCCCTCGGACCCAGGAGTCTGGACTGCCAGCCCACCCCTCTCCTGGAACCGTATACAACTCACACATCTTATGACTCTCAGACTCTGTCTCCCTAACACTCAACCACTCTACAGCCTCAAAGTTCAGCCCCTGACCCTCTGAGGGACCCAGGACTTTGGCCAGCTGTGCCGCTTCACTATCAGGTGCTGCCCACCTCAGGCTGTTTAACCCTTGCCTCCTCCTGACCAGGGCGGCGACCTCCAAACCTCACCTTCTCCAAAGCTTGCTTGACCCTTCGCTGCCTGCTGTGGTCAGTGCCCGGCACTAGATCCCATGCCAGCAGAGGCTTGCCCAGGAGCAGACCCCGCCCCCACCTAGGGGGTCGTAAGCCCCGCCCCTGGACCCGCCCCTTCTACCCCACTAGGGCCAGAGCGACATCGTGTGTTGACTCCTAGAACTGCCCGCCGCCAGAAATCTGTCCCAGACCCAGGCCCCAGAGTGCCCTCCACTCTCAAACCCAGGAGCCCAGGCCCCCCCAGCTCCCTCCTCCCTCAGACCCAGGAGTCCAGGCCCCCAGCCCCTCCTCCCTCAGACCCAGGAGTCCAGGCCCCCAGCTCCTCCCTCAGACCCAGGAGTCCAGGCCCCCAGGCCCTCCTCCCTCAGACCCAGGAGTCCAGGCCCCCAGCCCCTCCTCCCTCAGACCCAGGAGTCCAGGCCCCCAGCCCCTCCTCCCTCAGACCCAGGAGTCCAGGCCCCCAGGCCCTCCTCCCTCAGACCCAGGAGTCTAGACCCTCAGCCCCCTCCTCCCTCAGACCCAGAAGTCCAGGCCCCCCCAGCCCCTCCTCCCTCAGACCCAGGAGTCCAGGTCTCCAGCTCCCTCCTCCCTCAGACCCAGGAGCCCAGACCCCCAGCTCCCTCCTCCCTCTGACCCAGGAGTCCGGGGCCCTGTGGAGGATGAAATCATTTCTCTAGTTTGGCCCTGCCTTGACCCCACCCAGCTGCCCCATCAATGCCCCATTGACAGGTCAGACACAAGTGTTTGGTGAGGGGTGTCCAGGGGATGGGACACTGGGGTCCTGTCTGGGGAAAGGATGAGACAACCAGATTCCAGAACGATGCAGTGAGAGATGATCTCAGACTTGGGGCTGAGGGGAAGCAGGTGGTGGAGCCCCTGGGAGGAGCGGGGAGGGGAGGTCCTCGTTCTGTCTGCAGACTTCAACTTTGGTGGGGGCTAGGCAGGAACTCCTGGGCCTGATGGAGGAAGGGCTGGGGGCCTGGGATGCCACATCCCCTCCTCCGGTTTGCAGCAAGATGACCACTGTGAACTGCCTTAATTTTTTTAAACAGACCTTTTATTTCGGAACAGTTTTAGATTTCCAGAACAGCTGTAAGCATTGTTGTAAGCATTGTGCCGAGAGCTGCCGGGCCGTCCCCAGCTCCCCACCAGGTTGGTATCTCACGCAGCCAACGGCACATTTGTTCAAACCAAGAAACCGTCCGTCTGGCGCGAGGCCCTGTCTCGGCAGCACTTCCGCCAACAACCTTGTGCCGTCCCCCGCGGTCCGATCCGGGACACCCCACTGCGCTTCGTGAACCCACTCTTTTGAGTCTAGGAAGCACGCCGGACAGATTCCCCAGGAGGGGCGAGCGGCTCCCCGTTCCTGAGCCTGAGCTGGGTACCGGACACGACCGACCGACGCTCGTGCTCGCGCCCCCGCCCCGCAGCGGGGAAGCATCCGGCACCAGGCGCGCGCTGGAGACGCGTGGGGCGCCCGGGCCGGCCCAGGTGAAGGCAAGCTCATCCCAACCAGCCTCAGCTGTCAGCACGGAGCCCAGGGCCCACAAAGCTGGGACAGTCACACAGCGCGGTGCTCCGAGCCGGTAGGGAGCTGGCAGAGGGGGGAGGAGAACTGCAAGAATGTCGTAAGGAGAATAGACCGCGTCCATCCTGGGCACGGCCCAAACAGGTGAGGCTGAAAAAGACGCGAGACAGATCGCCCGGATATAGGTTCCCGATGAGGCTGCAGAGAGCTTGGAGGCACCGAGCCGTGAGAAAGGTGTCCTCAGGGGAGGACCCTGAGTGTGCAGAGGGCCCGTGGCAGGAAAGTGCGTGTGCGTGTGTGCGTGTGTGTGCAAGGATTTAGGTCCAGACAGGAGGAGTGACTTCCCCAGCGTCACCTGGAGCCCAGGGCAATGGAAGATGTAGAGGGTGAGGTTTCCATGGTGTTGGATCCTGAAAGCTCAGATGTAGCGCCATGGATGGTGAGAGTCAACCAGGCCTTAGTGGGGATGAGTGGCCCCATCAGAACTCCATGAGAGGCACTTGTCCCCGCACTGCAGAAATGTGTCTATAGGGAAGCAGTGCCTTCCTCCTAGAAGACGCATTCAGGACAGAAGGAAGAGGAAGGGTCCTTGAGAGAGGAGGGGCCTGGGGGCCTGGACTCCCAGGTCCTAGTTGAGAGGGGAATTGTGCAGCCCCGTCCAGCGCTCGGCAGGGAGAGATGCAGTGTGTTCCGTCTCTGTCCTCCCAGGAGCAGCTGTCTCCATCCAGGTGGCCAGGGTGGGGAGGGGGGTGCTGGGGGAGGGGCCTTTGGCCCAGGCTCTGACCACCTGTCTCAGTCACCTGGTCAGGGAGCTCCCCCATCTGTGCCCATCCTCTTGTCATCTTTGTCATTCTCCTCCTCTTCGTCTGTCCACTCCTCCAGGCTAGCTCCTCGCTCTTCCTCCTCCTCCGCATCTTCACTAGACGTGCTCCCTAAGCCCCCAGGCCCCTCTCTGTTCCCCTCTAACCCCCAATCATCCCCCAAGAAGTCTAGGACAACCAGTGGAGGGCTCCTAGTGTCGGGATCCAGGTCTAGGAGCCCCTGAAGCAATGCCAGGGCTGGGGGTGCAAACTGGTCCCAAGGTGGGGGTGGCTGAGGGGGTTGGGGCCTGGTGGTCATCCAGCCAGCAAAGGCCTCAAACTCAGGGTCAGGGGCTAGTGCCACGTCCCAAGGGAAGCAGGCAGTGGCAGTGCAGAAGAGAAGCACCCCCAGGCCCCAGGAGTCCATTGCTGGCCTCAGGGGCAGGCTGTCCGGTGGCAGCAGAAGGCAGAGCTCGGGTGGGGCCGAGGGCAGTGGCCCCGGTGGGGCAGGGGTTGGACTGCCCTCAGGCCGGGTCAGCCCCAAGTCACCTAAGGCCACACGGCTGCAGACGGGGTCAAAGACCAGCACGTTGTCTGGTTTGACATCCGCATGGACCAGCCCCCGGCCATGGAGGAAGTCCAGGGCCCCGGCCAGCTGGGCCATCACCCGCTTCACCAGCAGCTCTGGGAGGCCCTGGGGTCAAGGAGAGATGAAGGTCAGGGTGCCTCGGCTCCTTCTTTATTTGGTTTCTTGGAGTTCAAGAATTCAGAACCTCAGACCAGTGGCTACCTCTAGTGTCCCCCAACACCTTCTCCAGTTTATCCTCAGCCACACCGGGCTCCAACCTCTGTAACTCCAGCCCCTAGTATGTCATCACTGGAACCCCAAACTGAACCAGAAGCTCTTTTCACCTCCACCAAGCTTTCTCCTAACCCTAACACTCAAATCTGCTCCTTACATTTCTTATCTCCTCTAGCCTGACCACCCAGATCTCCAGTGGGACCCCAAATCTCATAGTGAATCCTAGTCTTAGTTCCTACTAATTTAGATGGTGTTTCTAATTCAGACACCATTCTGAAGTCATTTTTCTTCATCACTGGACTGGTAAATCTATCCATCCACCTAGCCAGGCAGCTAGCCAACAATCCATCTGTCAAACCACTCATCCATTCAACAGTCTACACAGCAGGGTTTCTGCTTAACTTCCATTCCACCAGTCAGCAATCCAATAATGTATTCAATTGCTTAATATCCAAAATCCATCCATTCATTCTTCCTTGTTTCCTTCCATTTATCTACCATCCATTTATCCATCCATCTATCCACCCACCAATCAATCCATCCATCTTTCCATCCATCCACCCATCCACCCATCTTTCCATCCATCTATCCATCCACCAACCCACCCATCCACCCATCTTTTCATCCATCCACCCGTCTTTCCATCCATCTGTCCATCTCTCTATCCATTCATCTGTCTCGCTCCCTTCTTTCTTTCCTTCTGCTTATCTCCAACCCTATCTCAAATCCAAAATCTATTCCTAAAGATGGCTCCACCCTAATCTTCAAACTCATGTGCCCCCAGAATCTCATGGATTCAGTCCTGACCTGGTCTCCTCACCAGAGAGAACCTCATTACAACCGATCTCCAACTCATTCTGTATACACATCCTCAACCATCCCTGTCTCACTCTGAGACCCCATCCATGCTTTTCACACCCATCACCAGTCTATTATCAACCCACCCAACTCCACCCACGCCCACACTCCCAATCCCAGTACTAACTAAAATCCCACCCCTAATCTCATTCCCAACCCAACCGCATCCCCCTGCCCATGCAAACTCACGTTGGAATGGCTGGGTGGATTAGGTTAGGGTTAGGCGTGGGACTGTACCGCGAGTTAGAAATAAGGAGGGTTTCTGGGGGATTAGGGCAGAGCTAGGTTGAGCACCGATCTGGGTGTCAGGATTGGAGATAGAAATGGGTTAGGGACAGAGTTATACATGGGATAAGCAGTTCTGACCTTTTTTCCCCACCCGCCTCACCCGTTCCTTCAGCATCCCGCTGAGGTCCCCATAGGGCGCATATTCCTGGGCGAAGGCGAAGTGTCGGGGGGTTTGCAGGGGTCCTGCCAGGGTCTGCAGTAAGCCTGGGTGTGATGAGACACAGCGGCCCACACAGAACTCTCTCAGGAAGGTGGTTCTCAGGACTGAGTCCCGACGAAGAAGCTTCAGAGCCACAGCTGGACCTGCCAGGGAGAAGGGTGCAGAAGGGAGCTCAGGGAGCTCTGATCTTGCTGTGGGGCCTTAGGCAAACTGTTTAACCTCTCTGCACCATGGATGTTTCATGTGTAAAACAAGAGTGGCAGGGCATAGCATCTGACCTCTCTCTGCTTCCAGTTTGTCTTTGTGTGCAGTAAGGGTTGAAGGTGACCTTCCCTGAGGACTCCCTATTCTGCTGTGTGGCCTTGCATGACTGCTTTACCCTCTCTGAGCCTCAGTTTTCTCTTGAATCAAGTAGGGGACATGGTGACTGGGGCTCCAATCCAAATTACACTCCTGCCTTGCTGTGTGACCTCAGGCAAGTCCCCCTTCTTTGGGTTAGCTCTGTTTATTGGAAGATCAAAGAGCTCTTAACTTTCTGAGAGCCCCCATCAAGGGTTCCCATCATCTCCTGGGGATGCTCCTTGTCTCAGTGGCTTCTGAGAACCCTATTCTGGAGTCTGCCCTTCAATGGCCAAACTCACCTCCTTGGCGAGGCCGGGCAAGGAGTACGCGGCCATAGGAGCCAGAGCCGAGCTCTCGGATGAGGCGGTACGGGACACGCAGATTCCTCACTGGGGTCACCCTGGTGGCTGTCAGCTCCACGAGCCGTTGGAGGGCTGTAGCTGTGTCCTCCTGTCAGAGAGGAGCAGAGGTGGGGAAGGGGTGAGTCTGGGGCCCACTGAGAGCAGTGGGGGAAACTGGAGGTCCAGCCCAGGGCTGAGGTGGGGAGCCAGGGTGATGGGGTCATTGTCCCCAGGGAGGAGGATGAGTCACAATGACTCACCGGCCTGGGGCCACCTGTTCTTGTGTCCTGGCAGGGTTAGGGGTGATTGTCTCAGAGACCCTGCCCACCACCATCATTGGGAACCACCAGAAGCCCCCAGCTGGGGGGCTGGGACCGCATCCTCAGCTTACACGACCCCCACTGCGCCCATCTCTCTCTCCATCCTCCCCCTGTGCTTCCCATTCTTTGTTTCTGAGTCTATTGCCCTGGCGGCCTCAGTCTTGCTTTGTGTCCTCGGGTTTGTGTTACTCTGGGTCTCTGCTGTTTCCCTGTTTCCCTGTCTCTTCCATCTCTCTGTGTGTTTGTCCACTGTCCCTCTTCATGTCTGTCTCTGACTCTGTTTTTCTGCATCTCTCTCTCTGTCTCCCTGTCTCCCGTCTCTCACCTCTGGGTCCCCATCCTCACGGTTCTCGGGCTCCCTGAGCTCCATGTCAGAGCCCCCTGGCATCAGCGGGAACTTGTGTGAGCGAGCACGCTTTGTCTGGGTCACCCGCGTCTTGCTCCCCGCAGGCCCTCGCCCTACAGAGCCGCGCCCTAGAACCCGTCTGAAGGGGTCTGCCTCGGGCTCCCTCTGCCTGAGTCGGAGGACTTCCCTGCCGCACTCCGGCCTCCTTGTCAGCCCGGGCCTCCGCGTGTCCGTGTGTACTATCCTGCCGATCTCTCTGCCCCGTCTCACGCCTCCCTCCCCCCTCTGGCCTCACAGTACCTTTGCTTCTGTGTGATTATCTGTCTCCCAGGCTCTCTCTCCCCACCAGCCCCCCGTCCCAGCTCTCGGGTCTCCGGGTGGGTCTCCCTATCCTGTGTCTCATCCCCACACCCTCCCCACTGTTGTCACCACTGTCTGTCATTCAGGATATCCCACACTTTCACTCCCTCTCTGTTCTCTCGCTCGGCCATGCTCTGGCCTGCTCTCCCCAGTGTCTGTCTGTCTCCCTCCTCCCGTCTTTGTTCCTGACTCTCTCTCAGAGCCTTTGTCCCTCCCTTTCTCTGGGCCGGGACAGGGGTGTGTGTGACAGCTCAGAGACATCCTGTCCCCCCACACCCCTCCCTCCCCCCCTCTGACCCGCTGCCCCCCTCCCTCCCCCTTCCAAACTTAGACCAGCTTGGACTCTGGGCTCTGGTCCCAGGACAGAGGGGACAAAACATATTGTGAACCCCCAAGGGCCAGGCCTGACGGCGGCGAGAAAAGGAGAAACAGGGCCCCTTCACATACCTTACTTGGGATGGGAGACCCAGAGCTCCATGCTTTCTGCCTTCCTCCATGGGATGGGAGTCTGGCCTCCAGGAACCAGGGAGACGGTTCCCAAAGCCCTGTTCTTTAGTACCAAGTCCCCATCCCCAGCCCCTCCTCCCTCAGACCCAGGGGTTTAGGCTCCCAGCCCCCTCCTCCCTCAGACCCGGGAGTCCAGACCCCCAGCCCCTCCTCCCTCAGACCCAGGAGTCCAGGCCCCCAGTCCCTCCTCCCTCAGACCCAGGGGTCCAGGCCCCCAGCCCCCTCCTCCCTCAGACCCGGGAGTCCAGCCCCTCAGCCTCCTGCCTCGGACCCAGGAGTCCAGATCCCCAGCCCCTCCTCCCTCGGACCCAGGAGTCCAGCCCCCCAGCCCCTCCTCCCTCGGACCCAGGAGTCCAGATCCCCAGCCCCTCCTCCCTCGGACCCAGGAGTCCAGCCCCCCAGCCCCTCCTCCCTCAGACCCAGGAGTCCAGGCCCCCAGCCCCTCCTCCCTCAGACCCAGGAGTCCAGATCCCCAGCCCCTCCTCCCTCAGACCCAGGAGTCCAGACCCCCCAGCCCCCCTCCCTCAGACCCAGGAGCTCTAATAGCCAAGAGATGCACTGGGGGAAAGGGCTTCTTTCATGTTCTCAGCACTTGCCCCGAGCCTGGTTCTGGGCAGGGGCTGGGGTAGGGCTTTACCATGGATCCTCCCCAGCCATCCAGAAAGGGTGGAGATTTATCCCCAGTTTACAGAGCAGGAAACTGAGGTTGTGAGCTGGGACCGTCTTACACAAGGTTAGAGTGGGAGGAGGTGTCTGGTGGGACCCAAGCCAGGTCGGAGTGACTCACAGCCCTGAGTTCTGCCCAGCTTGGTTTTACTACTACTACAACCCGCTATTAATAAAGACAAAGCCAGGACGCTACTCAGACTCTGGAAGGATCCCCAGGGAAACTGGCTACGACGTTGCCCCTGGGAACCCAGGCCGGGGGTGGGGCAGGTGGCAGAGAACTTCCTTTGCTCTTTGATTTTCGGGGGGTTTGATGGTGAAAAGCTCTGCAAACGTGCACAAAAGTCGAAAGGACCCCACAGTGACCACCCTCCAGGGCACTGACCAGACCTCACAGGTTGACTTTTTCCAGTACTTGCTGTATCTGTTTTCTGTGGGGGAATGAAGTATGTCAAAGTAAATTACAGTCTACCGAAATCTTTTTGGGTGAAATGGTATGCTGCCTGGTGCCTGCTTTCAAATACTCCAGCAGGAGAAAAATCCAAAAATGTGTGCGGCGGGGGGGTGGGGGGGGGGGCTGCTGCTGGGACAGGAGCAGCATTCGCCTCGCAAAATGTGACTAAGGGGATTCCTTTTACTCTTTATTTTTGGCTATGCTGGACATTTTTCCTCATAAAAAGCTAAATGTTGTCAAATACACTACAGACGGCACGAGAAATTATTGCTACCCTGGGGTCTACATCTCTCTGAAAGTAAGGATCATTTCCAGCTCAACTGCAATGCTATTGTCAATTGCATCTAGCAACATTAACAGTGATTCCAGAAAACCAGCTGATACCCAGTCCTTTTCTGTGCACCCCAATTTGTCCAAACAAACCCTCTGTTGCTGCTGTAGTTGGGTCACTGATCGATGTCAACACACAGCTTTGGGGGAAGCTTTCATTGCTGTGCCTTTTGTACTATTTGATTTTTGTTGTTGTTGTTGCCCAGCATGTGTTACCTATTCAAAAACCAGAACTAAAATGGAGAAATGCAATGATGACTATTTATTCAATGCTTCTCAGATGCCAGATGCCAGGCCTTGGCTTTTTTTTTTTTTTAATTAAGACTTTGTGGAATCCTCCCTATAAGCCCTGGATGAGTAGAATGATGGTTTCCAATTTACTGATGGGGAAACTGAGGCATGGAGCAGCAGAGGCATTGGCCAACAGACAGTGAGAGGCAAAGACAGAGGGTCTGGGGCCTCCAGGCCACTCTCTGTCCCCTGCCCAGGCAGCTTGAGGGAGGCAGACCCCCTGGTGTGTGACTAGAGCTGAATTCTTCCACTGGGGACGTAGGGCCGGATGTGTGCATGCAAGGGGCCCGCAGGGACTGCAGAACAGCTGCTACTCTGGAGCCAGAAGGTCAGGCTGCAGAGCCACCTGGGTCTGCTGCGGGGGGGGCGGCGGGGACGCTGCAGGCCTTTGGCCCTCCCTGGCCCCCTGAGAGGCTCACTGATGATCCAGGGAGCTTTGCACCTCCCCATTTAGCAACGCCACCCCACAGGGTCACCCGGAGTGACCTGGAGAAGGCAGGTGTAGGCAGGCAGGGGAGGCTCCAGTCCTGGCCCCATGGGCTCTTGCAGCAACTATCTTAGTTCAGTCCCTCCCGGCCCAGGGTGTGCTCTCCCTCAAGGGTCCAACTGCCCCCATACCTCAGTTTCCTCCTTATGAGATGGGAGTAACTGCAGGTTCTACCCAGAGCATTATGATATGTTATATATTGTACATAATATAATAATAAATGTAATATACATTACCTTATATATAATTATATATAATATATACCATCTTATATATAGTAGAGTATCTTATATGTTATATATTTTTTAAATTTTTTTTAAGATTTTTAAATTTATCTGTGAGAGAGAGCACTAGTGGGGGCGCATCAGAGGGAGAGGGAGAAGCAGACTCCCCGCTGAGCAGGGAGCCCAATGCGGGGCTCGATCCCAGGACCCTGGGATCATGACGTGAGCCGAAGGCAGACGCTTAACTGACTGAGCCACCCAGGTGCCCCTGTTATATACATATTTTAAAGGTTTTATTTTTAAGTAATCTCTACACCCAATGTGGGGCTTGAACTCATGACCCCAAGATCAAGAGCTGCACGCTCCACCAACTGAGCCAGCTGGGCACCCCTATTTTTTATATGTTTTATATTTTTTCCAAATAACTAATGAATAAAATACATATGGAAAGATCACAGAAAAAATTGAGTTAGACTTCAAAGACTGTGCACTTGACAACCCACTTGCCCTCGCACCCCCAAAAAAAGATCAATAGAAAAAGAAAAGGGGTAACCTTAAATTGTTTTGTCTAAAAAGAATACGATGATAAACTAGTAAATCAAAATCTTGGCTTTTGGGGCACCTGGGTGGCTCAGTCAGTTAAGCGTCTGCCTTCGGCTCAGGTCATGATCCCGGGGTCCTGGGACTGAGTCCTGCATCAGGCTCTCTGCTCAGCAGGGAGTCTGCTTCTTCATAGCCACACAAAACCTTGCTATGGTACCTCATGCAATGGAATATTTTAGCTGACACACCAAAAATATCCCAAATAATATAATGAGCACCTACATGTCCACCACTGTCCAGCTGAAGAAAGAGAATGTTGCTACTGCATTTGCAACCTGCAGGGTACTTACCACACTCCAAATCTTTCCCCTCCCTCCCTGAAGTAACCACTGTCACTAAGGAGGTATCTGTTATTCATTAAAAAAAAAAAAAAATGTATTTGCTACATACGTATAAACACATAGCTGCTATAGAGGATCACCATGCATGTGGTTAAATGTTATATAAATAGTATGTCTGTGACCCTCTGCAGCTGGCTTTTGTCCTCACAAGCTCAACCCTGTGTTTGTGAGCTTCACCTGTGTCGTTACATGGAGCTCAGGTTCTTTCCTTTGCAGAGATGTTGCATATTCTAGCCTGTGAACCTGCCCTGTTCTATGGATCCATTCTTCTGATGACTGACACCTTATGTTTCTCCCATCTTGAGCTCTTACAAGCAGGGATGCAAAGAATATTCTCACACGGGCTGCCCTGGGCTAAGGGGCTCCCTTTGGTGCTGCCATACGCTCTCCAAGGTGGTTCTATCTGGCACTGACCTTTTATTGTCAGTTTTTGAGTTCGTAGGCTCCTCTGAGAATCTGAAGAAAGCCACAGAGACTTGCACTAATACAGAAGCCACCACACGTGTGGCTCTTAAGCACTTAAAATGTGGCTGGTCCAAATTAAGAACTCCCGTGAGTATAAAACAGACCACGGATTTCAAAGACTTAGCATGAAAAAGAGAATGTAAACTCTCTCACTGATGATTTTTATATTAATTACATGATGCCATGATAATGTTTTGGATATACGGTCAATTGCATTATTCGTGGATTTCGTAGTTGCAAACTCGCCTACCCACGAAGTTTCCTGTAGTCCTCAAATCAACATCATGGCACTCTGG